CTCCTGGGTTCAAGCAATTCTCCTGCCTCAGCCTCCCGAGTAGCTGGGACTACAGGCACGCACCACCATGCCCAGCTAATTTTTGTATTTTTAGTAGAGACGGGGTTTCACCTTGTTGGCCGGGATGGTCTTGATCTCTTGACCTCATGATCCACCCGCCTCAGCCTCCCAAAGTGCTGGGGTTATAGGCGTGAGCCACCGCACCCAGCACCATACCCCAAATCTGTGTGTAGCACCCTCCCCTCAGTTTCCTCACAGCTGTGGCTGCTATGTTTTAGGTCTGTACTCCCTCTGGTCCAGCCAGGCTGGCTCTTCAGCTTTGTCAAGACTACAGGACTCTGACCCCTCAGGCTAGATAGCAGGGACTACCCATCCTAGTGGACTTGTGTCTTTCCACTGGTCCTGTTCTTGAACCCTGCAGTCCTGCCAGCTGATTACCAGCCACACCCATGCCCACATCCGCCTCCCTGTTGTTTACTCATCAGTGCGCAAATACTTAGATTACCATCTTGCTTTGCCTGCAGCAAGACCTACCACCCCACTGTTGTCACTGGTTCACCTTGCAAGATTGGAGCAGCTAGAGAGGTCTGAAAACCTCTCCTAGACTCCCCATGTGACACTAAACTCAGCTCTCCCACAAGAATATACACTACCTCCATGATTAAAAAATCAGCCATAGTCCAGGCACGGTGGCTCACACCTGTAATCCCGGCACTTTGGGAGGTGGAGGCGGGTGGATCACTGAGGTCAGGAGTTTGAGACCAGCCTGACCAATCTGGTGGAACCTTGTCTCTACTGAAAATACAAAAAAAAAAAAAAATTAGCCAGGCATGTAATCTCGGCTACATGGGAGGTTGAGACAGGAGAATTGCTTGAATCAGGAGGTGGAGTTTGCAGTGAGCCAAGATCATGCCACTGCACTCCAGCCTAGGTGACAGAATGAGACTCCGTCTCAAAAAAAAAAGAAATACCTCTTTTGTTCTGCATAGCATTATGGTAACAGTGGGACTCCGAAGGCCTGGTTCTTGCTTTGGCTTTGCAACTAACTGGTAACGTTAGGCAAGTCACTTCATCTCTCTGGACCTCAGTTTTCTCAGGTGTAGAACAGGCAATAATAACAGTTTTCATTTGTTGAATACTACATACCACTGCTGGGCTTAGCTCATCATTGTACTGGGATCATCATCCCACTGTTGCAGTGAAGACCCTACCCTCCTAGCAACTTCACAGATGGGAGAATCCAGGAGAGAACATAGGCATGTGCTCTCTAAAGTAGGCAGGATTGAAATTCTCTGGGAACAAAACACTTATACAAATATTGAGCCGAAACCCTTAGCAGACTTTCACGTTCTGAGAGAGACACTAGGTATCTCTCTTCCGTAGATCCCTTGATTCATTTGTAAGACTACTTTTGACTTATCATACAGAGTATAATCTCCACTCAATACCCCTAAGCTAGATTGGCAGTCTATTTTGGATCTTCATGAAGTGGGAATGAATATTAGAAATGTGTTCTTAGGCTGGGTGCAGTGGCTCACATCTGAAATTCCAACACTTTGGGAGACTGGGCCCAGGAAGTTGAGGCTGCAGCAAGCCATGATTGCAACTGCACTCTGGCCTGGGCAACAGGGCGAGACCCTATCTCAAAAAAAAAAAAAAACGTGTCCAACCCCAACCTCCATTCCCCACACACTCAAAGTATTTTGAACAAGTTCTTGCTGTGCTAACCACAGTTACCAGATGGACCATGTGCTGATGAGTCCTTTTTTTTTTTTTTTTTCATGGTGTTCCTCTGAATTGCCTGTCCACTGAACATGTATCTAAACCTCAAAGGACGTAGCTACTACTAAACTCATGATTGTCTTCTCCTGAGCTCAGCCTGATCCTGTTTTCTGTCTTGGAGAATGATGCTATTTTCTGTCCTCTCACACTCTTTATCCAGTAATTACCAAATATCGTTGATTTTACCTCCTAAATGTTTCTCTCCACCTCCTCCACCATGACCTATACCTACCGGTCAGCCCAAGAACAGCTATGCTATCTCTAACTGGTGTTCCTATGGCTGCTCTTGCCACCTACCAGACTACTGTTGAATGAGCAGCTATAATGTTTAATTTTGAGATGGTGTTTTACTCTTGTCACCCAGGCTGTAGTACAATGGCGCGATCTCGGCTCATTGCAACCTCC